GTGTGTGTGTGTGTGTGTGTGTGTGTGTGTGTGTGTGTAATTATTGCTGTTAATAAGTTCACGAACCTTCAAAGTGTACTTTGGAATATGACAGTTTTGAGAGTCTTTTTCTTACAAAAGTAAAGTATAAAAGATGTATTTTTCATACACTAGCTGTTGTGTTATACTAAGTCTATATATGAAAATGTTAAAATTATTTTACAATTTATAAATACTATACTTACCAAATCCTGAAAGTGAGCCTTCAAAATATTTTAGAACAAACTCATGATCTTTCAAAGTTAGTATAGCTGAAATTTAAACTTACTAGTTTCATTGACAATGCTCAAGTCTTCTTCTTTCTCCCGGCGAGCTCTTTCCATCTTCTCATTTTTCTCCAGATCTAAAGCACCTTTCTCAAACTTTTCTTTAATATTAACAGCCTTCACCTCTCCACCCAAAGTGACTGTCTCGCCACGTGTTGGTGATCCACTGCTGGCTTCTTTACAAGCTCGTTCGTAGGCTGCTCGCATTATTTCTGACCTTCCTGCTCCAATAGTTTCTTTAATCTATAAATTTAAAATTGAATGTGTTATATAAGTTAAAAATACTAGGTAGGTCCTCAGTTACTAAAGTATTTCCAATTATTTACCTTTATGGTATGATTTGCCATTAGTCACATTACATTACCAAAAACAGACGAAATAAACAACCATGTTAGTGAATGAGACTAAGTTCCTGTACTTCTAAGTTTTGAAATCAGCATTTCAGTAGAAATTCACAAAAGCAAGGCTTAGAAAAGACTAGATTTAATTGTTAGAGGTAAAATGTAGCAAGTCTATAGTTTAACTTCTTGATGATCATTTCATTTGATATAATAATTCTGAAACATAAGTTAATTTGCATGACAAAGTGGAATACAGGCTATTGAAGTGAACTGTGTGAAACCCCTCTCCCAAGTGACAGTTTCTCAAGTCTAATCTCTATTAAAATCCCTATTTTAATGTGTTCATTTACAGAATCCACACTAATGAGCTATAATTGCCATCTTAGAGCAAGAAAAATCTTGTCCCATGGAGACAAGGAAACAAACCAATCGTAATATGAAACCACTTCATAATGACTACTACACAAAAACTGAGTACCTGGAGAAAATATTAAGGAAGAACAGGTTTAGAATCACAGATATCTCAACACTATCAAAACTAGCCTTACTTTGAATAAAAAACACAAGAAGACAGAAAACAAAGTGTTTATATCATGCCAATCATGTGAGAAAGTATCTGTTACTGAAACTAAAACAAATATGGACACAAGTTTCTGAACATAAAAGGAAACTGAAAAACATTAAATATGGAAACATAACCTAACCTATTTTTCTTCATATGATAGACTATGGCTTTTAAATCAATTGGAAATCAAGAATTTTATATAAAATGGATAAGTACATAAAAAAGAAGAATCATCAAAAGTTACTTAATTTCAACACCTCCCAAAATCACTTTAAGCTAAACAACTCCTAACCTTCTGTATCCTTAAAGATATTTGATGTTCCAGGGTCACATAGGCATTGTTGACCAGTTGTCTTGCCAGGAGACAATGCAAGACTGAAGAAGATGCTAAATGCATCAAAACTAGTCTCTCTAGTTATCCAGAATACTGAGTTTGTTTTCCATTTACTGTGGTTTTTAACTGACTTATATATCCTTTGTACAATGTTAAAGGATAAAAAAAAGCATTTATATTTTAGGCTAGCCGAGTTTATAATAACTCTTAAGTAAGGAATACCCTTTTTGTGACAACCTAACACAGAAATCAATTAGACTGGTATGTGAATATGATTTTCTTTTTCATTTAAAAACTCAATCACAATATAAACAAAAGGAAATGTTTGCACAAGAGACAGTGCTAACCAAGAACAATTCTTAACTTTGATTAAGATTTGAAATGTATGTAATAGTAATTATCCTTCAGTTCTGGTGTTAAACTATAACATAACATTACTATCCAGTATGTTGTTGTTGTTAATATAGTAAGTTGAATGCTCAAACTAACAGGATATAAAATAATTTACCGAGCAGTTCTAACAATTTAATAAGTCTCCAATGGACATTAAACATGATAATTGCCTAGAACATTCCTAAAACTAAACCTTACAAAGTTTTTTTCACAATTTAACAAATCTCCAATGGACACTAAACATTATAATTGCCTAGAACATTCCTAAAACTAAATCTTACTAAGTGGTTCTAACAATTTAACAAATCTCCAATGGACATTAAACATAATTGCCTAGAACATTCCTAAAACTAAATCTTACCAAGTGGTTCTAACGATTTAACAAGTCTCCAGTAGATATTAAACATACTTGCCTAGAACATTCCTAAACATGTTCTAGGTCAATAACTAGGTCATTTAGAATACAGAAAAAATTATCTGTTCAACAAAGAACATCACTAGTAATGGGGTAAACACATCATATTTCAATACCTAAGAAAAAGTCAAAATAAAGTTTTATTAACATGTTTAAAACAAAGATCATGAGCATACAGAAACTTAAATTTATTCATGCTCACCTGACAATTGTACAAAACTAAATCTCACCTCCACATTCTTCACCCTGGCAGCAGTATCATCTTCATCTTCTGATGATGTGGACTTATCACCATCATGACAACTTTTGCCTACAGCTGACTGATACCTACAAATTGTATATTACACAGTTAAATATAAATAACATGTTACACAAAGATAAATTAGATAACACAGAAATTCATCACTGTCCAATCCAATGAATAATTTAAACTTGAGTCTAGGTAAAAATATAACAGGAATTTGGGATTGGAACTGCATAAAGAGAAAAATAATAATAAGGCTAGATCATTCCTTAGTTCTCAGTGGTCCTGGACAAGTGAAATAAAATTTAAATGTTTTGACCTCTTTCACATTCCTACCAACAAGTACAGTATAAATATCATTAAATGTCATATACCAAAGTACATGTAATGTATAGAAGATTAACCAATCTTGCTAATTCATGACATTCATAGTTATTTTTCCCATGAGAATGTTTGACACTATATTATTGTGTCAACCTACAAATGTGTGCCTTGAAAGTCCCAAATGTGGTTGTCAATGACTTAGTTTTAAAAAAAACAATTCAGCAAAATAAATTGAAAAATTCCAAAAACAAAAACTAATTTTTGGTAAAGAGACAATTAGAAGTCAAATTACATAAATACAAAAAAAAGGAAGGAGACAAGGTATTTAAATATGTAAAAATAACAGGCTAAGTGATCCAACAGCCCTGTCCTATTTACCACTACTACACCCTCCTACACCCAACCGAAATAAATAATGATTCATAATCTCTATTACGATATCTTTTTAATATCAAGAGGCTGGAAAACAAAGATTGTTTTCAATATCAAACATGAAACATACTTTGCCATCCTGGCTTGGATACTTTCTGTTCTTTTCACAGAAGCTGTATGGTCCATGGAAATGGGTCGAAATTCTTCCTGCTGGGGTGACTCAAATCGGGATCTTATGTTGTCAAGATCTTCAACAGTTCTCTCTTCAGTCTCTCCAACATCTAGATAAAAATTAAAGACTTAGTTAAATTTTTTACAATATCACTAATAGTTTCTAAACTTTATAAGTACTTGTTTTAATAAAACAAAATTAGAAGTTCTCCTATTTCACTTATGAATTTTTTGAAAAAACAATTAAAAAATATGATATTAACACAGGATCTCTCCCTTAACCAGAGGAACCTTGGTGGCAGGGATAAGACATAATAAAAGTCTGGGATTTATCTAACTTTTATGATACTTAAATACAATGTACCATATATTGAAATATGAAAATACCAATAAAGCTTCCAAATCTGACAAAAATTGACTGAATTATAATTGGCCACATCATCAGAAATCCAACAGTCAAGAACAGCATATCTTGTTATATACCTGCTGAGTCCACTAAGTGAGCTGCCTTTTTCACCTGTTGTTGCATCTGTTTTTCAGACCAGACACCCAACAGATCTTGGATAACTACTAGCACTACTGACCATGACTGGAACTTTCCTGCTTATCATCAACCACTATTATTCTCTTGATTACTTGCATGTGTAAGATTCCGAGATGTTCAACTTGCAACATGTGTAGCTGCTGTGAACGCATTCCCAATGAACTTTTGACATTTATTGATGCAACTCCATTTATCAATTTGAAAAAAATCGGTGGCAGCAGTTAAAAATAGGTTTGGTGCTGACAAGAACAGTAATGATAGTAGCAGTAGCAGCTTTCTGCCAGATCAGAAGAAGAACAGTGTCTTCAACCTAAAACAAATAACGAAGAAAGGTCGCATAATTTGATTTGAGAATCAAAGAGAGAATCAATTACTGTGCGTATGATCATTGCTGGTAAAGTGGTACAACCACTCTGAAACCCTGCATTTCTTTGACTGCTCATAACTCCTGACTATGTGTACAGCACATTCTTGACTTTCCATCAGTGTATATAACACATTCAAGAAACAATTAATAATATTTCTTGTTTATTTCCTGCCACCCAAAAAATCTCATGTTAACCAGCTCAACACAGGCTTGGTCACTTTTACAAATCTTGCAACCATGAAAGTATCCATACTATAACTTTTAATGTAGTAAGTCTATCATCATGAAGTTTGGTGAACTTTTAGTACACATTATAAGCCTTTTGTACAAAAAAAAATAGTTTTAATTAAATATTTTTGGTAGAGATTTTTAAATGAAAATATGGAGCTAGTAAATTGACTAGTTCGAGTGCAAGATGATTTCCATGTTAAGATTAAAAACACTTTTCAGTTTAAACTTTTAAACTTAAATTTGCATAATCTCTAAAACCTCCTAAATGAATATCAAACGTTTGTTTCAGCAAAACTATTTTATCTGTTATTTTCTCTACCCCAACTCTATACAGACTGTCAGTTTGACCAACCTTGTAACCACAATAAAAAATATGAAATAAATCTAAATTATCATCTAACCTAATAACTTTTACATGTTAGCATGTAAGTTACATTTATAATAATAAATAAAAGATATTCATAAAAAATAATAAATATAGTATGCATGTTTAACCTCTTGTTTTTTGCTGTCGGTCTGCTAATGGAGCTTAAGGCTTTTTTTGTTTTTTGTTTTGTAATGATAGTACGAGTATACTAAGTAACTAGTTATTTCAATATGCACTTAAGAACACAAAATAATAAACATGCACAAATCAAAAAATGTCTTATAAATATTTTAATTTAACTGGCTTTCCCTCAGCTACTCAATCTGAAATCTGCAATAGCAACTTTCAATCTGTAGGCAAAATAAAAAAGAACTACTAAGGACAAGTTAGCATTATATGTCATATGGTGAATTAAATTTGTCTCTATTAGTTATAAATGATGTGAAAGGCGAGTGTGGCAAGTGGGTCTATCTTTCCAGTTTATATCTTCATAAACAAGGAAGATTGAAAACTATAAAAATTAGACTATGGCTTAGTAATATCTATACTATAATGAGTAATATATGTTAAACTCATGACATCAGAGGGGTGGATGAGAAAAATACAGAATGTGAAAACTGGAGAGAACAAATGTCACAATAAACATATAAGGGGGTGATTAAGAATTTATTTAAATATTTTCTTTTAAAATTAAAACTTATATAATATCAAAATTTGATTTATTCACTACACTTTGATGCCAAGTATATTCACATACATTGATAATAAAGTAGTTTAATTAAATTTGAATGTAACTGTAAAAAGTTGTCACATGACAACTGATCTACCTGTAGCAAGAAATGACATGACAAGGTTAGATGAATCTTGACAAACAACTAAGTCAGATATCAAATATTTATGTACTCAAAGACAATTTCAGACTAAAAAGTCAGTTGAAGTATTAAAAGAATAACTCAATGAAATATATAGCATCTAATATAAAGTTGAAAGAGAGTACCAAAAGGGACAACCTGCTTGATGAACTGTGACAAAACAAAGTTTCAATCCAATTCTGTGTATCTTCATTATAACTGATGAAGATATACAGAAATGGAACAAAACAGAGACAGATTATTACAAATTACAGGAGAGAATATTTATATTTTTATAAAAATTAAAATGTTTCACAACCTAATACACTTATTAATTGATAGTTAAGGAAAACTGATACATCTATAAAATATAACTGGTAAACTTAAGTAAACACAAACAAAAGTAGTATTATCGATTGTTTTTGTTTTTAAAAAAAGCTTTAGGCCTAAAATTGACAAATAATCAACATTATTACATTTGTTTGAATGTTTGCATGTACTTTTGTTTTATCAATTACTTTGTTAGATAGATGATGGCAATTCAAAACTTACAATAAGTTCAAGAGGATTCCATATACGAAGTCTCTGAATGTGGTGGTATCTTTCATAATAAAAAAGTTAACCCTACATACATGATTGGGTCAAAGCGTACATCTTAAACTTTTACAGTTACATTCAAATGTTAATTAAATAATTTTATTATCAAGGTGTGTCAATAAACTTGGCATCAAGACAGTTAATAATTCAAATCTTATAAGCGTTAATTTCTTAATTTCAAGGAGAAATATTTATATAAAATCTCTCACTTCTGTGTGTATTATGTGGCACTTCTTTGCTCTGAATTGTCCATGTTTCCCACCCCTACTTGATCTTTTCATTTTTAAAACAAACTTCAAACTTATAGTATAGATATTGCTATGACAAAATATGATCTTATAGCATTCAATCCTCTTGGCTTTACTGAGAGGTAAACCAAGAAGTCAAACCCACCTGCTATACCCTCCCATAACATACTATTTAAAAAAATGTCACTAATTCTCTGAAACTTGCTATTATTTATAACTAACAGAAAGAAAAGATTTTTACTGATTTATGTATAAGAGTAGCTTGTTCTACCAACAACATTAGAATTATTCAGCTTACAGATTCAAAGTTATCACATAGTTTAGGGTGAGCAGGAAAGGCAATTATTTTAACACCCATAGGTAGTTAGAAAGAAAGCCAGTTAATCCTTTCAAAAGGGGTCATGGGTGAAAGGCCATGTCATCTCGTTTGTTGATTCACATTCAAAATTTTATCGAACTACTATTTCATGAATTTATTTCAATAAGTTTGGTATCAAATTGTAGATTATAATTGAAATAGTATTATTATACATTAATTAATTTCTTAATTTAAAAGTAAATATTACAAAAACACAGTTAAACATCGATTTTTGTGTGTCACGTGGTATGTTGAATGCAGTGCTGGTTCAAATTAGATGTTTGTGAAGTCAAAATACTAAGCCTATAGTTTTGAACAGATTTAGATTAGTATTATAATCTGTGTTCATTCTAGAATGAAATAGGCATAATTTATATTTATTTCCTAATTTTTTATGGTGCTAGCGAGATCGATCAAATCTACTGAACCCATACAGAGATTAATTACCGAAAATAACAGATAAAATAGTCTTTTCTTGAGAAACATTTGATAACTATCTCAACATTATAAAGTTTTTGCTTTTGTGAAATTTAAAATTTTTCCGATACATAAAAGTATTTTTAATCTTAAAATTAATATTACTTTGCATGATAGATAGGCAAGATGTAAAAAGAAAAAATAGACAAGAGAAAACATTGCTTTATAAGCCTTATGACTTAATAACAAAATTGATATTTTGTGTATGAAAGCATTGTAATGTTTACTGATAATCTTCCA